TCTCTTCTCCCAGGAGAAGAGACGGGGAGATGTGGGCGGCCGGGAGGGGGGAGAGGGACGGGAAGAATTACGCTTCCCCTCCCGCTTCCCCCTCCCAGGAACGGTGGCCCTCCTCATGTGGTTCTGTCTGCAAGGGGGGGCGGCGGAGGGTTATAGCCCTCCGCAGCGGACGGGGGGCGGTACGGTGGGCACTATGCCGCGTACCCAGCCCCCATGCGCGGGCCTACCTGCGCACGTCAGCGGGGTCCCCGCAGTACCTCGGGAGACCCCTGCCGTGGAGCCCCGGCGAGGCCGGGAAGCTGCTAGGTGCGGGGATGCGGAGAAATCCTACCAAGGGGATCCCGCAGCTCCGCATCAGGCAGTAGTAAAGGTATTCGCAGGACTTTTTTAGCGGATATTATGCCGTAAAGCGCCCGTAACGGTTGCGGTGTCCCAGGTGGGCAGCCACTGGGGGGTCCGTAAGACTTGCGGGAGCCAGGTGTGAGGTCCGTTCGGCGGTGTGCCTCTTACAGGCGCCGTTGTCTGTAAAGAGATTTTTTACCAGCGTAAAAAAAAAAGGTATTAAAACACTCCAGTCAACCTTTCGTGTTTTAATGCCCCTTATATGACAGTCGCATAAACTACTTTATTGTAAAAATAGGTTTGCATAAATTTTACTGAAGCCCAAATCAACGACAGCAATTTAATATATATTTTGGGCATCCTTTCAAAGCATTCTATCAATTGTCACGGAAATTCTATTGTAAAAAGGACTTTCGTTAATATTTACTCTGTACTTGAATCACTTGCAAAGTTGATCGCCGTTTATCACTCTTCGGGTACGGAACCCAAAACCTTTCCTCCAATTACAAATATATTTTTATCTCTTCAACACATACATTTATCTCAGTTAGCGAAACAATCCCTTCTTCAAAACGAGACTGTTTTAATGGCAAGTCGTTTAAACTCTACGACCTTTTTTCTAGACGCAGATTATGAGTCTGGCTTGTTCTAAGTAAAATAAAAAGTTCAAGAAACTTGAACAGCGAGTGAAACTATTTGATTGCCCGAGAGTACTTACCGGGACACCAGAAACCGAACAATTTAATTACATTCGCCGTCCTTTTCGCTCCTTTCTTGCTTTTCCAATTTGAAACCTGGTCAAACTTTTATTGCTAACTCAATAGTTAGGAACCAGGATGGATACGTTTGATAAATTAGGAGTAGAATTCGACACAATCATAAGTTGAATTAGACACTGCATGTACTTTAAATTGTATGGAAATCGAGCATGTCAGATTTTGAGTACTCACGAGAACAAATAAGTGGTGAAAAAGCATGTACCCCGGTCACCTATTCCAATATATCGATTTTTCAGTTTAATTTATGACATAGATATTTCTAAGTTTGACGATTGACGTCCGGTATCGAGAACGGTGACGCGAAGAAATGTATTAGCGCAAAAGGAAGACCGTTGGTCTCCCTTTTGGCACGCGAAGTACTTACACTTGCGTTATGTATGTCGATCTGTCTCTGGTATTCGACTATACATGACAGTGTTTACTTCCCAGAGCGTTTTTATTTTCTGGTGTTTTTCTATTGTTAACCGTCCACCTAACTGTTGTATTATCTACTTTTGTTGTTCCATTTTTGTACAAACAATTTCACAAACGCGTGTCCATAGCGAACGTAGTGGTCCCAACCGGTCCGAGATATCGCGTCCGTGAGCGGTATCTATGTGTGATGTGCACTTTGTAAGCAGGTTGCCTTCTGTTCATTTCTATTTTGTCCTCATCGTGTATAGCAGATGACAAGTGATCACTACCACGTTTGCAACACCAAGCGTGCTGAAGTGTTAACTATATTAGACTCAAAGGTTACCCGCATATTGAAAACCGAAATTTCCCAGATTTATGGAAAACCGAAACGTAAAGACTCTTAAATCTTTACATCAAAATGCATCTAATGAATTTACTTAAACGGCCAAATATCCATCCAGATCATATAATTATAAAGTGGTTTCCATGTTGAAAATTTAGTTGACAAAACGGAGAACCCTTGTAGAGTCAATTACTCATATGTTATACAGAGATATTGAAAGATATAAATAATATACCTAAGTCTATAAATAAATTGATAGAGCTGTTAAAGACACGTTGCATATTATTTGTTAAATATTTAAGCTATCGCGAATAATGTTATATTGAAGCATACTTAATTGGGCTTCTTCTTAAAAAAACATACCATCTGACTTTTTATTTGTAGGTAGGTAATAACATTATCATAATTTTTACCGTTAATAAACATAAGGCTACTGAACATAGCCCACTTCGTTTTTCTTAATTCAACACTAAGCCAAATAAATAGAGTTTAAATCTCATTAATCTTCTACCTAAGGACTATATCCACTCAGAACATAAGCAATTAGTTAAGTCCGAGAGGTTATCGCATTTTATATAATGTGTTTGATTGTGCTTAACAATGCACTTTATTTGTCGGTACATTTTATTAAAACATAATAATACTTTTTACATTCCGGACTTTACGCAACGAGAAAAGAAAATGCTTGGTATTTCGCTCAGGATAGAAGAATTGCTCTGCTGAAGTGGCAATGGGCAGGAGAAGTAGCGTGGAGAACTGATGAAAACGCACACCAGATGATGTACAGTGGGCAGGCCCCCACGAGGTGGACCGATGATCTAGTGAATATCGCTGGTTTCCGCTGGTTACAAATAGCGTAGGGGCATTTTTTTTTCTCCCTGGAAGCCATTCGGCTGACGGAAATGCTTTGGAAAACGCTAACGCTTTCGATTTTATTTTGTTATTTCTGACCGCCGAAAGTTTTCAAATACCTCACGCTCATTTTTTTTAATATTGTTATTACCAATGCAAAAGAAAAAAAAAGAGCGCGAGGCCTTTGAAAACCTCAGCATTTCCGTTAGGCGAATGGCCCCCTGGTGGGCGAGCGGGTATGAAATCCTCATGGATACCCTGCAACTGGCTGCAGGATTATGTCGGATTCTTACTGACTAAAACACACCCGTGGGGGGATGCTTGTGGCCATAAGGGCCTTACAGGCTTCGTCTGATGCGATCATCCCCTGAGAAGGGGATGATGCAGGAGCACAGTTGAAATATAGCTTATTTATGTATATATATATATATATACACTGTGCCTGTGTTCAGCAGTGGGCCTCGCGTCGTACAGCTGATTTAATGATGATGGTGAGATACCGAATAACCGGAATAATACAGTTTGTACTATGAAAACGAAAATAAGGTATAGCAATACATAAAAAAACTTTTTTGTACACAAATAAAAACCCTACTGGGGTGCAAACCCATTTAAGATGACTTAGGATCACTACCGTTACGTTTTTAAAATTACATCCAAAAATGTGAAAAAAGCTCATTTATAAATATTTTCGCAGTTTAACCTACATTTAATACATTTTTATCAGTTGTTACAGAAAACTACATGGTCATAATTATTATTTTTATTATCACTAACAACATCATCAGCATACCAAAGCAATGTTGGGTAATGAGACTCGTTAACAAATATTTATTAATCACGTAAAGTGAGACGCTAGTCTTATCGATACAAGTGTCAATTAAGTTCAGTACACAAACTGATTTGACAATTACCACTTCAGTTGTTGTGAAGCGTTGAACAAAAGTACCCGTAGTAATAATAATAATATAGAAAAATATTATTTAATTTAAATAAATAGCATCAAAAGTGACACAAATTTATAATATTGCTAAAGTGATCGTGAGAACCGCAGGTGAGTTTTTTATTTTGATTTTAACTTAATTTTATAACCGTATTTTTTTAATGTAGTCAAACTACAACTCATTAGCAATATATACCTATAGCTAATTAATACCACTCTTACTCTTATTTGTTATTCTTTATTAGTGAAGACAGAGAGCATTGATATAAAGTAAATGAGTGCAAAATTAAATAAATTCTCAATAAAAGATAATAGAATTTAATTCAATGAACTGGCAAAAAAACTTGCAAATTGAGGTTTAGGGAGACGTAGTTCCATCCGGCATACGCTATGATGATGATGAACTCAATGAACGTATTTTTGTTACCCAAGACTTCTACTTAGAAGAGAAACCGGCCTAGCATTGTCTTTATAAAATATTACACTATATCGAGCAAACAAGGGCATGCAAAAAATCACGTCTATTATATATAAAGTTATTTTTATATTGTTAATTATTTTTAAAGTGTATATACAACTTAATTTTTTGCGAATATTTAAGCGTCTACCTGTTGCCATTTTTAATATACACCAAAATACGTCAAAAAATGTATGTAATATAGCTCCCCTTAAATATTTTACTCGTATTTGGGCACCCGAAGCAATATTTATACTGGAAGACGGTGCCAGGTAACCAAAACGAATACTACCCGAATACGGGCGTACTCGAATCCGTTCATTTACACTTAGTCGTTTACCCGAATTCCATTGCCAATCGTATTCGAGCTAACGACCAAGTATAATTGAGCTATTATAATTGAGAACACAGGGCTGTTTAGGGTTCCGGGTACGGGTTACGCTTTATGTACGGAACCCTAAAACGCAGCATTAAACTCGGCCAATGGTATTTTTTAAAGTAGATAAAATATAAACGATCTATTGTTTATGCAACTTATAAATCATATTAATAATAACTTTCTTAGGTCATCAATGTGTTTTACTATGAGTGGATACTATGTTTACAAAAGATTTCAAAAGAAGAGGCTCAGCGAATTTTCCGCTCTACATCCACCTAACAGAAAATCGCGGTGAAAAAACACTACCCTTTAATGTCGTTCCGTTTTTTTGGTAAGCCTGGAATCCATGGGGATGAGATCAGAGTAGATAAACGCAAGTAGACTGTGATACCAGAAGTGTCTATATGCTATGACGGCCTCTTACCATCATGATATTTTTCCACCCCTTTTACATAAAAATAATTATTTCAAGGTATAACAGAGTTAGGATTGCTCCCAAAACTCTTTTTCAGTACTTTATCAAGCAGTTATAATACCTACATAAGCTGAAACGTCTTTTGCAAAGTGAGAGCCTGTTAACGTTTATCGGGTACTTTCACGGTTGATCCGGGTAGGAGATGACACTCCGGCAGCCTTATTTACGCAGAATTCTCAGCGGACTACGGTGTTGCCAGTGTGAGATAGCCGACTTTGGCGCGGGTTCGTCGTACGATCGTGCTCCAGATAAAAATCATCCGAGTAAGACTTCGTTCCGGTTCAGTTGGTATTATAAATAGCTTACGATTACAATGTTTTTATTGGATAATATAAAAAGTTTTATGATATAAATTTTGTTTACATGAAGGCCGGTACGTAATATACAAACATTCCATCTCGCTAGATGTTAATAAACATAAAGGTGACTTCTTCGACACAAGTGCGTGTTGCACAATTCAGCTAAGCTCACCTCACCCTATTACGCTAAGCCAAAGGTTAGGTTAGGGTACCAACCTTTCTTGCTTTAGAACCTCAACACCAGCAGAGTACCTGCAATTTAATGAAATATAGATGTTAAATTTCCTCAGGTTTTCGTCCCAAATCATCTTTACCTTGTCAGTCTAATCTTTATCGTATAAAGCTAATTCGCACTACCATACCTTACTTACATACTGGCTCTAGAAAAACGATGGGATTTGAATGGAATATCAGGTCGCTGTATTTTGTTCATAATTTCATTAATTATTTAGTGTGTTGGTTCATAATTTCATTAATTTTTAATTATTTACTTTTATTTGCTAAGGAATTCTCAGTTCCTCTACTTTGTACTAAAATACCCTTACGTTTAAGCCTCGGCCGGTACGTAGGTCTGTTTTCTAGTATTTTTTTTATATTATATAAATCTATCAGTTGTACTGTTAAAAATATTAATAAAAGAAAACTTTTGTTCACTTTTTACACTATATAGTATGAGTTTTAACCGTTTTCGAATTCGATCAATCATATAGTCTCGTTTCCATACATTGACTAGCAGTGTCCCTAGCCTTAACTATCAAAAACAAAAATCAGCAGTATAACTTTCATCGAGTCATCGTAAAACGAAAACTACCAAAATTTTCGTATGTCGTTTGCATTTTGGCAGTACAAGTTACAACTTTGACAGCGCATCATGAGTATACTACGACGTTTGATCGTATCGTCTCTCGATTAGAAACTTTCTGTGACTAAGTGTTTTAGGCCAAGTTTTTATGCAATATAAAAATTATTTCGGCACAATATTTAACTCTCATGCTCGCTGAAGATATTGACGAAGACCAATGTGCACAGGAACGACGGGAATTACAGCGGAGGCGATTAACTTCTTTTATCACCGACAGGCATTTTGTACATTGTATATATATTTTTTAATTTCATTTCTTTACGGCCTTGAAGTCAATCATACAGCAACATACAGCCAAGTTTCACACACCGATAAACATAAGATCTATACTCTTTGGACACAGGTTAATAAGATAGTCTAGAGTTTTACATAGATTAGCTTTGTTTAAGGTTGAATTGAATGAATAGCTCAGCTATCTCTTTTTTGGCAATAAAGAAAAAAAGAGACAAAACTAAACAGTGTGAAGTTCCTTTAATCGAGTCATCGAGCATACGATATCGTGATGACTAGGAGTAAAATTCTATAGTCGTACTGCGACACAATTCGAAAACGTATAGTTTGATCGAATCCACAAAGACGATCGTTCGTTTTGTATTAAAAAAACTCATACTAAGGGTACTGTAATATTAAACTGGGTCTTATAGAAACTCGCAGTAGCTAGTAGTTTTCTATATAAAAAAAACGACGGGTTGCACTCCGGGAATGCCGGCAGAAGTGAAAACTTGAATATTAACGTTGTGCATTTTTGATATTTTGGAATGTTTAGGGAATAATTTTGCACGAATTGCTTTAATTATCAGTATAAAAGTACTATCATGTATGTGATAGAATACAATATTTATTTATTGCGCTTACGTACACAAACATGACAATTTATATTACATTAAAAAAGGTTATCTCTCAGAAAAATCAACTTACATGAATCACGTTTAAGCGCACTTAGCGACATTTATTGTAAAGAAATCAACTTACATGAATCACATTTAAGCGCACCTAGCGACATCTATTGTAAAAAAATGCATTTTCTTCGCAATAAATCTGCCACGTGGACGTCCTAGATAGAGACTTATTATTATAATACGATAAAATAAAATATTACTATATTTCGTCCAATATATTGAAAGTCAACAACCTTTCCAATATTAATGTGTGTCATGATGCGATCAGCCCACGTGTTTAACCTGACGCGAGTTTAACATTTTTTACCCATACAAAAAAAAGTGTACAACGCCGCTAAAGAAGTTTTCACTTCAAAATTTTTTTTTTAATCTTTACTACCAAATGCAATCATAAATAGATAAATACCATTCTTTTAATTAGATCTCATTTCAATTCAGCAACTGCTATCTAGTCAAATCGACTTTCTGTCGCCGAGTCGACAAGGAAGACAGAATAGCGTCGGCGGCGGCAGTCGCACCGGGAATAGAATCAATTTGTCGTACCAACATTGCGTTTATTCCCTCTCGCCCCACGTCTCGATCTCGTATGATGTCGTCTCTACACTGTTATCGCGTATAGGGGCCTCGTCATGATACCGATATGCACTATTGCCCTCCCTTATCGACATTTTTATATGCTACACGTGCTGTTTAAAATCTTACAATGATCTTCATTGGTAGTAAGAAAGACCTGTTACAGAAAGCAATTGATTTGTGTAACATTATTGTTATCTTATTTCATGTTTATACAAAGTAGGTGTGGTTTTTAATTGTTTTATTTAAGGGTTTGTGCACAAATATACACATTAATTATAATAATTTATATACAAATTTATTTAGAGTAGCAATTTAGACAGGGATCCATGGGAACCCGGTCCTGTGAGACGTTCATGGAGCCAAATCCAACATGAGGAGGCCTTTTAGTACCTTTTAGTTTACCTTTATTATTAACCCGGCGTTCGCACAGTTGGGTCTATTTGACCCGAGCAGTTTTCAAATGAGCGTGTTTCTTAAAATGTTTGTGCGACTTAGCCAAACTTCTCAGTAGCTGGAGCTAATGGTCCCACCTCCACGTGGGATTCGCCAATCAGTCGTGTTGCGGCCGCAGCGAGTGATAGACACGGCCAAACACGAAAAAGGTAAATATGACCCAACCATACTATTAGTGTCGTAATTTTGCGCCGTTTAAAAAAATGTTTTATTGTTGTTTTATATTGTTTATTTTGGCAAATATGTCTGGAATAAATGCGTACATATTACATAACGCCAATTTCTAAAGAAACTTAAGCCTTATACTGGTTCGTGAGCATTTGCGCAATCGTAAAGATGTCATTCAGTTGCCAAGGCTTATGTGCAAAAGTATAAGAGAGTTTTTAGGAGTAGGTACCTGATGAGGAGCCTCCTGTGAAGATACTTTATGTAAGAAAGAGATGCCAAGATTGTTCTGCCAAAAAAGATAGAAAACTAATACTTTTCGGAGCTGTATATGCAAATACATCTGCAGTGAGCATGCAATGTTGTACTGCCGAGATTGCGCAGATGATAAGAATACTATGACTGACGTATGAGACTGATACAAATAGCATAATATTATTAGTTTACTAAAGATTTGATTAACATGTAACAAATTAGTTTATGTTATAGAAAAAAGTTTGTTTTGTTAAAATTTTATTACTTTAAGACAGAGGTTGTCCATTTTGTTAATATTTTGTGACACTTTTATGAAAATGACATTAAAAAGATAGTTTCGTATCATGTTGTGTTTTTTTCTACTCAAAACCTATAACGATAATCGTTTTATACAGATAGTACAACCACAAACCAAATTTATTTTAACTTTTATAATTATGGCGTTTTCTTATACGGGTCTTCTCGACCCAACCCTACTGTCGTTGATGCATATTTTGACTGTGCTGACGCCGGGTTAAAGTCCATAATTCCGTTATCTTTTGTCCATGCGCATGTTATTGAACATGTTATATGCATTCAAGCGGGTCCTTGAATGGTTTGGATTCGCAATTGGCACTGCAGTAAGATTCTTGGATTTTATTATCGGACAGTTTGACGTCTGTTGGTTCCGCTTGTTTATAATAAAAATTTAATTAACTTAAAAATCTAGGAAAATTTTGGAACGAAGTTAGGATGGATGGCGAAAAAATTATAGACTTTCCGTCACAACTTAGCGGGGCAGCTAGCTAGGCTGCTAGCTGGATAGCTAGATCGCTAGGTGGCTGTGGACTTTGTTTATTGTGTTTATTGTGATTGGACCATGACCTGCCATGCGGGAACCGTGCGGATTGATGTGTGGTATTTTTTTCTGATGGAAAGGCAGATTGGGCCGTGACTCGCCACGCGGGCCCAGTGGGAATTGGTGGGTGGAAAGTGATTTTCTTTTTATTTTTTGATAGAATATTAAGATTGGGCCATGACTCGCCACGCAGGTCCAGTGCTGGTTGATGGGCCCGAGTGCAGATTGGTGCACAGGTTTTTCTTTATGGGATACGGAAATTGGGCCAAGTTTCGACACGTGGACCTAGTGCGGTTTGGTTGGCCACCACACGTCCCCAGTTCGGATTAGTGGTTGGTATAAATATTTTTAACTCCGTTCCAACCGAGAGTTCCACTCACGTTTTTTGATGCATAGTGTGAAACTCCTTGTGTGCTAGTCCGTTGTGTACCTACATGGCATTTTTTTATTCTATTCTGTATTTATGTGAAAAATAATATCGTTTATTGTACCAGCTACTAGACTTCCCAAGCAGATAGATTTTTACTATACGCAGACGACATGAAAGTGTTTAAAAGAATTGAATTTCAAAAAGATTGCCAGTTACTCCAGGAATATTTAAATAGGTTTGAGCTGTATTAAATCTAAACATATCTCAATTTAATTGCATAACCTTCATTTGTAAACGGAAACCATTCAGCAATAAATATGTGTTGAAAAGGCATGAACTGGCAGAAAGTGATGAGATTCGAGATCTGGGTATTTTACATAACTCTAAATTGAGTACCATATGAGAAACATATAGTTTGTTCAGAATTCTATTACTTTTTCAATTTTCGCATTCTTAGAGTGGTGAAATTAGAGAGTTAATGTATGTATGTTCCTTTGTTGCACACGAGAGACCAAACGCGTGGACCGATTTTGATGATTCATACATCAATCGATTCGTCTTAATCATGGGAGTGCTACTTAAGATGGTAGTAATCAAAATTCAATATGGGGACAATTAGGCGCCGTATTGTGACGAAGTAAAAAAAATAAGTTGACGAAATATGTCGAGTCTATCATTGTCTAGAAAATCGAAAATTATGTTTAGGTTCCTTACACCATTTTTCATTTTATATGATTTTATAGGATATACAACGATTTCAAGTTGTATATTAACCACTTGTGCTTTTAATTTCAATCTTACATTTGTATGGATCTTTGTTACTCTTTCGCTCAAAAAATACTAATGGATTTTAATAAAACTAACCTATAATATATCTCATACATAATAATAGCATATATATTCTAATTTATGTAGTTATTGATGTTTAAATGTAAAGAAAATTTTACTAGAAAAAATCCACACGGACCAGGCAGCAGACGGGACTCGAACCGAACGATGGCCGTGTCGAACTAACTACTGTATTTCAGTTATTTTTAGTCTTATTAATTTCCTGTATTTTTCACTTTGAGACGGTTTTGTATTGTTTCAGCGATGAGCTTTTTAATCTCAGACGTATGCGAAAACGTGTTAATGGTGTTAGTTTTATAATTACTTGTAAATGTTGCTAAAAAAACACTGTACATTTTCCAAATATTTTTAAAAGAAAAAAAAACTTTTTAAAGCTGTTTCTATTACAATAAAAGTAACAATAGAACCTTTTATATTTACTCTTATCGTAGCAGCCCATTAAATAACTGATCGCAGCCCAGAAATGGTCTTGGCTACCGACCGCAATATGCGTGTTTTAAAATTTACCCTGTACAATATATTCATTGGTTGGATTTCACTGAACCTATCCCGAGAGCATTGGATATTAAAAAAATTGCTACACAGTGCGGCAGAACAAATTGAGAGTTGGTAACTAACTGGCAAGCGATTCCTGCCTCAGGCACGAAATACTTGCCAAATGTGCCATCCGATAGCGTTGCAGCCGCCAGAATATTGTAGTAAATTTATAACCACCCTATTAGCACTAAATCTAAACATTAACCTGATTCTGTAACCGAACTTCACGGTTTCCCGAATGTCGGTCACGGGGCCGCATTCACACGATCCTTGGCACTCTTTGTTTATAGTCTTGCCATAAACTTTGTCTAATTGCAAACAAGGGAGATATTTGTACTTACCTAATGCTTTGCGGAATCGACAAATTTAAACGTGAGCAACGCGACTCAGAGTTATTGCTCCCTTTAAAGTTCGACTATCGAGACGTACCTACTTTTTTAAGTCGATTAAGTGTCTTCTCTTTTTATAACGTGACTTTTAAGGTGCAAAATTTGACAATTACATTTCAACAGCCACTTTTAATCATGTTTAATGGGAGCCAAGCTTATAATTATAATTAACACTTATAATTAATTTGAAATAGGTACTTCATGTAATTTTTTTTGTTATAGATCAGGAGAAATGAATTTGACAGTGCCAGCACCGAATATAACAGACCGCCAGTTCGTGAAACCATTGCTATGTGGACCCGGCCCGTGTGATCTGCTACCATCAGTTGTGGAGGCTTTGACAAGGCCAACCCTGTCGCCAATATGTGATGAACTATTTAACGTAACTATAGATTTATTTTATTTATCCCTGCACAGCTTTACTAACAGGGTAGGGAGGAGGAATGGCGTTCACCTTAGGAAAACATGGTGTGTTTTTTTTACTCTTTTTTTAATATAAAAGTCTTTCGCTATCGAGTAATCTATTGTTTACTGGAGGCCCCTTCCCTCACGCTTGACATGACGTGGCATGTTGCTACGTTCCATTTTCAGGGATACAAGGGTGGCGGAGGGAGCTACACGGGCACGCCCAAGTAGCCCTCCGCAGCGAACGGGGGGCGAAGACACCTGCCGTGGAGCCCCTGGCTAGAGGCTGCTGGGTGCGGAGTCGCGGAAGAATCCCTTAACGAGGATCCCGCGGCTCCCACTAAGCAGCTTAGAGGGTATTCGCAGGGTTTTTAGCGGATAGTACTCCGTTAAGCGTGCTCGTAAATGGCGCGGGTTACTTTGGGGGTTAACCCCATCGTGCCCGTGACGTTTGCGAGTGCAGGGTGTGAGGTCCGTTCGGCGGTGTGCCTTTTTAAGGCGCCGTTGTCTGTAAACAGAGGTTTTGCCTGAGTCACAAATAAACAAAAAAAAATGGTAACGAGGGTGAACGCCATTACCCAGTTAGTGCTATTTCACCTCCCTACTATACAGTATTTTTTTTAACCTTTGACAAATGTGTACTTAAAAATATTGTCTCTCCGAAAACACTTGTGCCGCAATAATATGAAGAATGTAAAGAAATAATATTAATCGATCAAAACGGTCATCGGCTGTTGGACGTCTACATACTCCGACAAATACCTCCTCCTAGGGACATTCACACACAACGGTTCCGCAACCATTGTGTTATCCCAGTCAACGTTATGAGGCGTCTACCAACACTGCCCTTCCTTGTACGATGTCGCCATTGAAGTACATTGAGACCTCAAAGTCCATCGGTTAGCCTGACATTGTGCCCCGCCTATTGCTACTTCAGCTGGGCGACTTGTTGAGCTATGTCGATTACTAAGGTTCTTCTTCGGGTTTCGTTATTTCTAATTTGGTCACGTAAACACTAGCTTCTACTTCTAGCTATTGGTGATGTCAAAAGAAAAATTACATTTACAGGTATTAGATGATATTCGCACGGGTATCCAGTACATGTTTCAAACCCGCAGCAACACTGTGCTGGCTGTGAGCGGGTCAGGACATTTGGGAATGGAGACGGTCATCACCAACCTGGTGGAGCCTAACGAAACGTTGCTAATAGCCAGTCGGGGCATCTGGGATGAAAGGGCCTTGTTAATAGCAAAGCGACGCGGTAAGCTATAGGAATGTTTTGAGCAGTCATAGTATTAGTGACCCGCCCGCTTTTATTTCGCGTTTGTTATAAATAAATCATGAAACCTTCATGATATTTACCTAATTGATTATAATAACCGCATGAAAATTCATACAGTAGTTTGTGAGATAATCACGATCATTGACACAGCCAGACAGATGTTAGTTTTGTCAAATAAACTATGAATTTAATTTGGAGAAAAATACACATTTTTCACTAAGAGCGCACAACCTATGGTGCCCTTCATAATATTTACCTTCTGGTAGTAAATATACGCAAAGTTACCAATTTATATTTCCAGGTATTAAAACTGTGGTAACTAAGGTTCCTTACACGGACACATTCAGCTTCGATCACTTAGAAGCCATGCTGAAAAAAGTACGACCAACAGCCCTGTTCATTACACACGGGGACTCGTCTACTGGTTCCATGCAGAAAATCGAAGGTCTCGGAAAACTCTGTCATAAGTGAGTTAACCCAAATACAAACGTTTCAGTCTAAAGAAAAGATTTTTTTACTAGAAAAATTCCTTTCTGTACAGATTTCTGACATGACACACCCGCATCTCTTTCGCTGTCGGGCGTACGAACTAACCAATTAACTTTATAATTTCCTTTAGTATTTCTAAGGTTGCAAAGCCGCTGCTTTGCAACCTTGGTATTGTAGGAAACCCGCAATGTCAAACGAAATACCTTTACAAGCTAAGTTTACAAGTATTAAAAATTAACAAAAAATTTAAAAGAAGAAATAGCAACGGCGGTTCAATGTTACAAAAAAAACTAACCTTTCAGATTTGTTAGCAATGTCTTCGGATTGTGTTGATAAACCCACTTAATCAAGTGGTAGCAACCCTTATTAGCAAGGGGCTAATAATCGTGCAATGAATTATACCATTAATTACATCCTGACATGAATGAATAATATGTTGCCTTCACTTGTCTTGTAAGCTCTATAATTATTACTTCTTAAATAGACGATTCCAACTATGATACTAAGGAGCTTTATTAAAGAAATATTTTGTAAGAAATATTATTTAAGTAAATATCTAGCGACCGCCCTGGCTTCGATTTAATGAAGGTAATATGGGTCTTTCAAATATATGTTTAATGGATTACTACCGTCTTTAGCTTATGATAGTGATCCCAACTCTCTCCATATTCAAGTGAACTGAACAGAACGAAAAATATATATTTTTCACAGAACAAGGGCCGTATCAGCATCTTCATCAGCCTATTAATGTCCTCACTACAATGCACAGGCCTTTCCTATAGATGGATCACAAACTACAGATGCAGTCAGGGCCAACGACATAACGAAGCACGGTGGAGCTTTACCCATCCTACGACTAACATTGCGAAAGTTGCTTATCTTTCACAATGAGGATTGGTGGATGTTTTAATAACTACATTCTTTCGGTGGAAAATAACATACGCGATGACTTGAAGCACTTCTGGGCATTTGTTCATAGACATAATAATCGGGGTTTCTCTCGCATAATGAAGTACAACCACATGGAGTCTGACGATCCTACCACAGTTTGTGATTTATTCATTGATTATTTTGGTTCTGTCTACGAGAAGAGTACTGCTTCCGATTTTGATATTAATTCTCAGCACACTCATAATATAAAGGGTAACTTCATAATCTCGGATCTGAACTTTTCTAAGTCCCAAGTAGTTGCAAAGTTGAAATCCTTGGACATTACCAAGGGTTCAGGCCCAGACAACATTTCTCCGCTGTTCTTTAAGTTTACGGCGGACAACATTAGTGTTCCACTAACTATTGTTTATAATAAATGTCTCTCGGAGGGTTTTGTCCCTAACATATGGAAGGCTGCCAATATTGCGCCTGTACACAAAGCTGGAGCAAAAGATGACGTATCGAATTATCGCCCAATTTCATTGCTTCCTGTCTTGTCCAAGGTTATCGAAAAACTGGTACATGATGCTATCTACGCTGACCTGCATAATATCATAATACCACAGCAGCATGGATTTGTTAAGCAGCGTTCGACTGTCACCAACCTCTTGGTATACACTAATTACTTATTTACTAGCATGGATCAGCGTGTGCAAGTGGACACTGTGTATACAGACTATTGCAAGGCCTTTGACAAAGTTGATCACCGGTTGCGTCTGCAGAAGCTAGCGTTCAACGGAATACGAGGCAACCTTCTGAGGTGGTTTTGCTCTTATATTTTTAACAGGACACAGAGAGTAGTAATCAACGGTCATATGTCTGGTACCATAATTGCTACGTCTGGCGTAGCACAGGGCTCCATTTTAGGACCTTTGCTGTTTGTTTTGCTTGTTAACGATATTGACAAATGTTTTTTACACAGTAACTTCCTACTATATGCTGATGACCTAAAAATCTTCAAGCAGATCAGAACTCTCAATGACTGTCTTCTTCTCCAGATGGATCTTGATCGATTCAGTGACTACTGTGTCCAAAATAATCTGTATTTGAGTGTTTCAAAATGTAAATTTATAACTACAACAAAGAAGAAAGACGTTATCAATTTTAACTATTCAGTAAATGACAAAAATTTGGAGAAAGTTAATACCATTCGTGATCTAGGTATACTCTTGGACTCTGAGTTACATTTGCATAACCACATAAATCATTTCATATCCAAAGCATATCAAATGTATGGCTTCATAATGCGCACTTGTCAACAGTTTAAGAAACTGGATACCTACATTTACCTTTTTGAAGCCTTGGTTAGGTCACAGCTTGAATACGCTACAGTCGTTTGGAACCCATTTTATAACAAGTATAAAAACAACTTAGAATCAGTGCAACGCAAATATCTCAAGCGTATTAATTATAAATGCACGCGAACTAAACAATCATATGACCATCTTTTGCAGAAGTTCTCGGTACCAAAACTGGAGTTGCGGAGGACGTTTTTTGATATATCCTGCTTGTATAATATAATACATAATAATTACGACTGTAATGATTTGACTGACAGTATTACATTTAGAATACCCAGCAGTTCACACCGTATCCGTGAGGCCTACCCACATAAACTATTCTGCCCCGGTTATGTCAATACTAACGCTGGTCTGCGTGCCCCGTTGAACAGAATAATGAACACCTTTAATGATAGTTTGAGCTCACATGATCACAAGACCAAAGTGTATGATCTTTTATCATAATATGTGTTTTAGCTATAAGTATAACATGTGTATTGCCTTGGTACGCCTCGACAAGCTTTTTGTTTCTACTGGATACTTATTTGTGTAGTGTACAACATATTTTTCTTTTAGTATAGAAAAAGAATAATAGAAATATATATAAAACAAAACAATCCTAGTATTAATCTGTGGATAATGTTGTTGGTTGTACAATAAGTATAACATAATTGTAAGCCTTTCACTTAACATATATTGTACAACTGTTTGTTATCCCTAATAAAATAAAATAAAAAATAAAAATAAAATAAGAACTATTTTTTTTATATCTGGAAAAAGTATTACGCCTCCTGAACCACCAGGAGTAGCATGAACAGGGTATCTGAAAACTCACCGCTCATTATATCCAGCCCCAGGGCTCGATGAAATGAGTAGGGCCCTGCCCAGTAAAAAGCAGATGATACTAATATGACTGACCATTATTAACAAAGACCACTAATCACTTGATTCCCATACACCTCACACACAATATATTCGTATTATCTACAGATACGGCGCTTTACTTCTTGTGGATACTGTGGTGTCTATATCCGGTGTACCCTTCCTTATGGACGAATGGGAAGTCGATGGGGTGTACACTTCCACACAGAAAGCTCTCAGTGGGCCCGCTGGTATTTCACCAGTAGCATTCAGCGCTAGAGCAGAGTAAGCATATACTTTTATTAATAACAATTCGAACTTAAGGGTATCAAGATGATATTTTCAATGCACAGACATATTGGAGTTGCAGTCTAGACGCGAAGGTAGATATCGATAACAGATTAAAGAGAAAAAAGTAATCGAAAATAAACTTATTTCCTAGACGACTACTACGAATTGAGGGAAAGTTAGTCTTTTATGATCTGAGTTCTTGAATCTTTCCTTTGAGTTGTGCCAGCTGTTGTAAAAAAATAAGGCTAGAAGAAGTTTCACACTTTTGATGACCTAAAGAATAGAGATTTTCCTAAATATTTATCTCCAATTTTTATTGTTTTTGTGGGGTGTTGAGTTTCGTTTTGCTTTCAGGGAAAAAATTAACAAGAGGAAGTCTGAAACACCATTTTATTATGACATCAAATTGTTGGCTGTGCAGTGGAACTGCTACGGCACGAAAAAGTAAGTGCAGATTGTAGTTACACATACTTTAATATCTATAGATACTTACGGTCATCCTACAATTTAAGTTAGACACAGTTTTAATACTCCTTATTTTACCTTAAACTCTTGTTGAACGCATGTATTATTTTTGTGTGTAGTAATCTACTATATAAAAATAAGTCGGGTTTTCCTTCCTGACGCTATAACTCCAGAACGCACGAACCGATTTCCACGGTTTTGCATTCGTTGGAAAGGTCTCGGGCTCCGTGAGGTTTATAGCAAAGAAAATTCAGGAAAAATTTAAAAAAAAAATCGTTTTCTTTTAATCACAAAACGAAATGTTACATAAAACGAAGCTATCTGGTGGCGAAACGGAGTTCGCGGGGTTTGCTAGTAAATAATAAATAAATAAATATTTCCAACACTCACACAAATTAGCCTTGTCTCTGGGCCATGCCCCACCACGGGGGCCCAGTCCGGATTTAATTTGTAGATGCCAACAACTGCAGATGCAGCCGGGACCAACGGCTTAACATGCCTTCCGAAGCATGGAGGAGCTCTCGAGCTCATAATTATCTCGATAATTAGTTCTTGATCACCCATCCAATGACTAACAATAATGAAAGTTGCTTATTTTGCACTAACCACCTGCACCATCGATATCCTCAACATAATATTCAATGTTGTAAAGTAAGAGCTTTCCGTCGAGTTTGTATCTGAGGTCTCGGCACAGCTGGTCCACAGGTTCCAAGTCGCTCAGCGCGCTGTGGAAAGGGCTATGCTCGGCGTTTCTCTCAAAGATCGCATCAGAAATGAGGTAATCCGACAGAGAACCAGAGTTATCGAAATAGCCCACCGGATTAGCAAGTTGAAGTGGCAGTGGGCTGGCCATATTTGCCGAAGAACCGATAACCGTTGGAGTAGACGAGTTCTGGAGTGGAGACCGCGTCTAGGCAAACGTAGTGTAGGACGTCCTCAGGCACGATGGAGTGACGATTTGCGCAATGTGGCTGGCAGGAGCTGGATGCGAGTAGCCCAAGATCGATCTGAGTGGCGTGCATTTGGAGAGGCCTATGTCCAGAAGTGGACTATGATAGGCTGTTGATGATGATGATGATGATGAACTTACGATTACAATCATGACGTGTGAAATAAATTTTTATTGTTTCATTTCAGTGGCTACCCGTTTTGAAATTTAACTTTCTTCAAATATTTAAAATGATATTTATTTTGGATTTTAAATAATTATAATGTATACTTGCTGACCCGGCGAACTTCGTGTTGCCTAACAGTCGATGAATATGATTAATTTGAGGGAAATGCTATAGTAAGTCAAACTTTAAAGATAGACATATACTGTCCCGGATTTTTTCATAAAACTTTTAAAGGGAAACAATTCCGTCATACGTGATGTTTGTGTAACTTTAACCGTTTACGCAACGGAAGCTCACAGATGGAATATTTTCTTCCTGTTTTCACAACATTTTTCATCGATACTCCGCTCTACTGGTCGTAGCGCGGTGTCATATAGCCTATAGCCTTCCTCGATAAATGCACTATTCAACACGAAAATAATTTCTTAAATCAGACCAGTAAACTAACTTTGCAGCTTTATAAAATTAGTATAGATTATATTTATTTTAAGCATTTAACTAGATTTATAAATTAAAGATTTTTTTACTAAAAAAACTGGTACATGAATCCACTCAGATAGCGGAGGGAGCGGGTTCTTGTCCCGTTTGCTGCATGGACAACGTGGATTTATTTTTCTAGCTTTTTTTTTAATATAATGTTATCATCAGGTACCACCACACGCTAAGTTCTCCGTTGCTCTGGGCTCTCCGTTGCTGTCTTCAAGAGCTGGCGAAAGAGACCCTTCCCGTATCCTGGGAACGTCATGCGACTGTCACCGCCCATTTTCTGAAACGACTGCAGGAACTGCCTGTGCAGTTGCTAATACCTAAGCCAGAAGACCGCCTCGCTACCGTCACTACGGTCGTCCTGCCCAGAGGATATGATTACATGGAATTCGTGAAATATATGAGGGAAAAGTAAGTGTTCGCTAACATTTATTAATAAGTAGCCTAGTAAGTATTAGGATAACTCTTGCCATTTAGGGTTTGACGTTTGGAGTCCACCTCTTAAAATGTCTGCCTCTGCGTTAGACCTCATAATATGACTGCTTCTGGATTCGACCATTTCGTTTTTCGTCTACTTCCGGAAGTGTACAAAGCTAAAAAAAATATTTGTTGAAAATAAATAATAATATAACAATCTCGGGGAGTTAAATATTATATTATATTTACAGTTTTTTTGGAGACATCAAAAAAGTTGCGTTTTTTTGCACACCGTAATAACGGTAGACAAATAAGTTGGTGGTCAAAAGCAGAAAAGTTCTATACGTATAAAATTATTTTTTTATTTTAAAATACTTGTTTCTCCGACCTGATGTTATCGTTGGTACGCACCCATCTGCAGTAGGCTGCCTTAATTGTAACATCATGTTCAGCCTATATGTTTAATATGGATTAAATAACGCAGAACTCGAAATAAATAATATTAATTCGCTGTTTAACAATTATATTTGAAGAGAAGAGTAAAAGTACAGTTGATCGTTACGCGCTTAAAATTGAATAGAAAAAAAATAAGTTAACAGCGTTGAACCCGACGAATTTGCCGCTGCAGATCATTCATAGCCTTGGCGTCAACATGCCCCCGGCCTTGGAAGCTGTAGCTTTCAATGATGCTCCTTGGTTTCAACTGGAAGTGGACATATCTTCGAGAATGCTCGCCTCACAATTCCAGATGCAGTCCGGATATCAGCAACGCGCGAAATGCCATCGTTGCCAGGGTAAACCTTAGTCACTCTACCCAAGTTCCACCTTAATGGTGGTGCGTTCGTGTCTTTAATGACCACCAATGTTCCGATTTCTATGCTAGACTTATTCGTTTTCCACTTGGACCTCGTCTGCAGCTCCGAAACAAACTCAAGGGACCAGCGCCTCCAAAAGTGTTGTCGCATTTGCTCAACCCGTTGATACCTTGTCACACGATGCATGGGTTTGTCTTCCAGATTGGTGCAAGTAGGGGCGGTGACAGGTCGACCGATGAGAAAATGAGCAGGGGTGAGCGGTGACATATCTGTGGGGTCTGAAGAAAGTGGAGTCAAAGGTCGGGAATTCAGTACCGCCTCGATCTGCGCCAACATAGTAGTGAACTCCTCGAATGTCAAGTGTGCATTACCTATTACTCGCCGGAGATGATATTTACAGCTCTTGACTCCGGCCTCCCACAATCCACCAAAATGAGGCGCATAAGGGGGGATAAAGCTAAACTTAATACCTTGACTAGATGTATAGTTAATAATTTTATCTGACGAATTAGAAATAAATTTTGCGAATTCATTCATGAGCCCAACGAAACATTTGCCGTTATCAGAATAAATTTGTGATGGTTTTGAACGCCTAGAAATAAACCTTTTTAAAGCAAGCAAATAAGCGTCGGTTGTGAGATCACTAACCAACTCTAAATGAATAGCACGAGTAGAAAAACATACGAATAAGCATATGTATGCTTTAATAGTCTTAGCTCCCCTACCCTTTCTGTTTAATATGAGCACCGGCCCCGCATAATCAATACCACAGATCCTAAAGGGATAGCCTGGAGTCAGTCGGTCCTTGGGTAAATTACCCATGATAGGTTCAGGTGTCTTAGCCCTCAACCTCGCACACCTAACACAGTTATTAACTACCTTTCTAGCAAGGTTGCGTCCTCCTATCGGCCACCAATTTTCTCGAATTGTGTACAAAAGTAGCAGCGTGTAATAATTTAAGATGCTCTTGTTCAAAAAGAATAACTGATAATCGATGTTTGGATGATATTAGAATAGGATGCTTTTTATTATATTCAAATTCAGAGGAGCCAAGTCGACCACCAATGCGTATAATCTGATAGTCGTCGATGAACGGACTTAAATTCAATAAATTATGTTTATGTGGTAATATTTTTTTAATAATTAATAGTTCATAACTATCTGGAAATGATTCTATCTGTGAAAATCTAACCAATAAGTTAAGGGATATTTTTAGTTCATCGGTAGAAAGTGGCCCGGTGCGTATATTGTTTTTATTATTTGAACTTCTATTATAACAAGCACGTTTCAAGCGAGCAACGCCACGAACCAGACGATCGAGTTGCGAGAACTTATGGAATGGAAATCTAAATTGCTTATTTTCATTTGTAGTAACAAGAGCGTGTGTCACATTTTTTATTTCAGGCAGCTCTTGCTCTAAGTTGAATTTAGACGCGGATGCATAATCAAAGTACGATTCGCGAAGAAACTCTGGTCCGGTCCACCATTGATCGGATTCGCTTAATAAATATAACGCCAAACCTCGTGAAATTAAATCGGCTGGGTTGTCTTTACCATTGATATGACACCATGGATTTTCTTTTGTCAACTCGCGTATTTCAACAACTCGACTTTGAACGAAAGTTTTTAGTAGACTTGGCGTCGTGCGAAGCCAGCCCAAAACAATAGTGGAATCGGTCCAGAAAAACGTATTACGAAAGGTGCAACGCAGCGAGGCAGTTACCCTTTCAAATAATTTAGCGCTAAGTAAGGCACCGCATAGTTTCAATCTGGGAATACTAACTGGCTTTACAGGTGCAACTTTGCCCTTTGAACAGAGAAGTCTAGTCAGTATCGTACCATCTGCATGAACAGTACGAATATATGCGCACGCACCGTAACCCATCTGCGAGGCATCGCTAAATAGATGAAGTTCGATATAGCTACTTTTAGGACCTATAACGCAACGTGGTATCCGCAAATGGTTCAATATGGGTAGGCATTTCTCAAATATACACCATTCTCTCGCTATGTCACTAGGAACGGCATCGTCCCAATCCAGTTTTAGTAACCATAACCGTTGTAACAATATTTTGCCTCTCATTATTACTGGGCTAAGTAAACCAAGTGGGTCAAATATTTGAGAAACACCGGACAATATGAATCGCTTTGTGATCCGTGACGTAGTGCTTTTAAATTGCGTATGATAATAAAACTCGTCACTCATATTATCCCAACCCAAACCTAATGTACGACAATTATTATTTTCGCCTAATGAAAGATTCTTTTTAATATTGCTTAAACTATTTGTATCAAAATTGAATACCCATTTACGCAAAGGGAAACAACCAGATGCCAAAACGTTTTTAATCTGCTCGCATAATTGTAACAAACGTTGACGACAATCAAACCCAAAAATCAAATCGACTACGTAAAAATCTTCATTAATTATTAATTTGACGTCCGGGTCATTACATTCTGCTGCTAATTGTTTTAAACATCTCACCATAAGAAAAGGAGCCGAGGCAGTACCATACGTAACAGTGTTTAACCTGTAACACTCCAAAGGGTCGCTAGGATTGTCACGCCATACGATCATTTGGAGGTCTCGTTGTTCTTCATTAATTAAACACTGTCTGTAAGCCTTCTCAATATCAGCACAAACTACAAACTGATACTGCCGGAACCTAAGCAGAATGGCAAACAAATCGCCCTGTATGGGAGGCCCGATTAATTGCAATTCGTTAAGTGACACATTTGAACTTGACTTTTGGCTCGCATTAAAAACCACTCGCAATTTTGTTGTTGTACTATGATCACGAAACACCCCATGATGAGGCATGAAATAATATGTTTTAGAATATGTATCAATTTTAGACATATGACCTAAACTTTGATAATCTTGAATAAAATCCGCATACATTTTTTTAAAAGAAGGATTGTATTGTAATCTCTTTTCGAGCGCCTTAAAACTATGCTCCGCAATAGAAAAAGTATCGCCTAAATTATCTAATGAACGCTTGAAAGGAATTTTAACGCAAAATCTACCATCCGCTGTACGCTTTGTGTTTTCAAGAAAGTGTTTTTCGCAAGCTACCTCGTCGTCGCTAAGTAACATAGGTTTTGGAATCTCTTCTAGTTCCCAAAACATTCTTAACTGTGAATCAACAGACTGGCTAAAATTACACAGCACCGAATCATCGCTTTTCAAGTTATTAAAATAAATAGTTCCCGATATGATCCATCCTAACTTTGTATTCTGTAGGAATGGCCCTTGTTTTAAACGCATTTTTCCTTCGCTTAATATGTTCCAAAACGCATCAACACCAATTAACATATCAATCGGCCGGCTTTGGAAAAATGTGGAATCTGCCAATTGTATGTTATCTGGAAGCTGTAAGGATTGCAGAACGTCTAAAGAGACGTTCAAAGACTATTCAAAGGAATAGTAATAGGAGGTAAAGAACAAGTGATTTGAGGTAAAACTAAACACTGTATCTGCATGAGGAATGAATTTGTTAACGCTTTTATATCAACAGTGCACGATTGAGTACTATGAGATACCGAATTACCAACGCCTTTTATTTGAAAAATGGACTGTATCGTATTTAAGTTCAAAACATCGCATAATTTTTTCGTAATAAAACTGCGTTCGCTTCCGCAGTCAAGTAAAGCGCGCACGACCTGACGCTTACCGCTTTTGCCTGTTACTTCAACCAACGCGGTTGATAATAATACTGATTGCACACTATATAACTCGTCGGTTTGTATTAATTGATTGTCTAAGTGTGCTGTATAAATATACGTGCATCCATCGGATGTCGCATTAGCTCCCGTCTTGCAGCCGGGCGGGGAAACCGGTTCCTTATCGAGCGGGCCAGCCGTCGCGGGCGCAGCAGTGATCAGTTGATCGCTGTGAATCATTGTATGATGTCTTTGATTGCATTTGCGACAGGAGCTGAATCTACAGTTTGCTAATGAATGTCCCGCTCGCAAACAGTTCCGGCATAAGTTTTTGTTCTCAATCACTTTAAGCTTTTCGTGTAAAGTGAATTTATTAAACGTATTACATGTGTAAATAGGATGATCGCCGTTGCATACTACACAGCTGCGCGATGATTTAAAGTGATGTGAATTGTTGTGATTCGTACTAGGCAAAACATGACAGTGCACTTTGGAATTATGCGCCTCTTTAGGATACGTTTTCGAATTGTGACTGTGTGTAACCTGTAAAGTTTCTAACATGTCGGCCCTGTCTTTTAAGAATTTAATTAGATTTTCTAATTTTATTGAAGGTTGTATATCTTTCAAACCGTCCATGGGAATCGAACCTCTGTATTTTTCCCATTCGCGTTCGGTAATATTGTCTAATTTTGAAACTACCATATAAATTATGAGTGTATCCCATGAATCTACCGGCTCATGTAACAGTTTCAAAGCGCGTAATTTTTTTAAAATGGTATCAATTAGTTTTCGAATTTGACCAGGTGACTCTTTTACAATATTTTGAATTGAAAATAAGGCCTTAACATGGTTATGAACCAACAACCTAGTGTTATTGTAATGGTTACAAATTAATTCCCAAGCTACCGCATAATTGTTTGAAGAAAATTCCAAAGAATCTATTACAAGCGCTGCCACACTTTTTAGAGAGGATTTCAAATAGTGAAATTTTTGTATAGGCGAGATATCTTTATTATTATGAACGAGGGACAGAAATGTGTCTCTAAACTCCAACCAATGCTCATATGAACCATCAAAGGTAGGCAATTTTACTGCATGTAAATTAGCATTGGTGCTAGTAGCGATCTCACCAGACGAAAGTAAGCTTTTAGCTTGTGCTACGGTCGCATAATATAAGCTTTCAAACCCCTCACGTAATTCTAATTGTTTAAAAAGCTCATGTTCGTTGACTGAGTTTTCTATCTCAGATTGAATAGCGCTAAATTCATTAAAAAACACCGAAGCCCCTTGAATTCGCATTTCTAATTCTGACCGTTTATTTAAATTTGAAAGTAGTTTCTGTGCATCCAAGCCATTAATATATTTTATTAAAAGCGTTAATCTACCCCGTATTACCCCTCTTTTCTTATTTAATGCATGAATTTCACTGTCGCTATTTGAATTAGGTGATTTTTCGGGAACTACCAATTTATCGTTGCTCATTTTGGTGGATAGTGAAAATATACGGAGTACTTACAGTTCTGCAGGTACACCCAGACGAGAATAAGGTATTTCTCTTTCCGCACAGCTAAGGGTTGCTTCTGATCGCTGGTTGAGGAAGATGCAAGCAGATATTTTGCAAATGATCCAAGACGAGCAGTCACTCCGTCTACTCGCTTAAGTCGCTTTTTCGCATAGGTCGCTTTCTTCGTGTTTTGTATCCGGTTCCGAAGGTCCAGTTTATGTAGCGGAGGATTTCTTGGATTAAATAACGCAGAACTCGAAATAAATAATATTAATTCGCTGTTTAACAATTATATTTGAAGAGAAGAGTAAAAGTACAGTTGATCGTTACGCGCTTAAAATTGAATAGAAAAAAAAAGTTAACAGCGTTGAACCCGACGAATTTGCCGCTGCAGATCATTCATAGCCTTGGCGTCAACAGGCAGATAGTAATACTTAATAAAACAAACATAGGAACTTATTTTTCAACAATTTTAATTCATCCATAGCGCATTGTGATAAAAAATCTCGCAAAAAAGATACAATACCAAGGCCAATATAAAATACAAAAATTTCTACGCGGACCAGGCAGCAGACGGGACGGGTACAGATGTTGTCACTTGCCGAATTTTCTAAATCTCGATTCAACCAAAACTAGCTTTAGCCCATACAATAATATCAAATTCAAAATTATGTTTTGACATTTTTCTAGGGATTAGATCCAGTTTGAATTGAAACAAGATTTAGCAAAATTGCTGCAAATGGACGTGACGTCGCAGAAACTCACGTCTCTTCACTTATTAAATTTATTTTTGTTATTTATCGTTATAGAGACAATATATGAAGAAGTCATAATAAGAAAAAGGCTAATAAAGAACTGGTCCTTAAACATCAAACTCTTCAATAGTAATCTTTGAAAATATTGACTATCTACGCAATTGCGCAGCCTTGATAAAACAGTTGCGTAGTCACGTTCGGGTGACCGCGTGGGTTACCGAACCCAAAGACTTTTTGTCTCATGCCCATATTTCGTTTCAGGCACAATATTCTTATCTTTGCCGGTCTCGGACCGACAGAAGGGAAAGCGCTTCGAATCGGCATCATGGGATGCAATTCGTCCTTTAAAGTGGCAGATGCAATCGTTGATGGGATGGCGGACACCTTGAGGGCCTTAAAAAAATCTTCATTGTAAACAGTTACACATTTAATTTTATTTAGTATGTAAGATACATTTTATTAATAAACGAGCTTTGTGAAGTTACGAAGTGTTTTATTCACATAATTAATTTTCTTTTTATTTGGAATGTGGTAAGAAAGGAAAAAGAACTAAAAAATAAACTTTTGGCACTCTATTTGTTTCTTAGGTTTTCACGCACATCACTCATTAAATAAAACTAGTTTTATGGGTTAATGCACGAAACTTTATTTATTTATTGACGTTTCGTAGCCTTTACAGGCTTCGTCATCAGAATAAAACTTTTATTTAATTTGTCGAGCTACCTTTGAGCTGAAGGTAGCTCGACAAATTAAATAAAAGTAATAAACTAGTTTTATTTTTGGCACTCTCTCCTCAAGAGCCACTTTACCTATGCGTACATTTGTAAATATGTTGAAATATCAAAAAAAAACAATAATTGATATCGCACACTAATTATTTGGTCATAAAATAAGCAAAACTTATAGCCAAGTGTCCATGACTTAAAAACCGCTAGGATTTTGTGAATAGGTTTAAGTATAAGCAAAAATAAAGGCAGTATCTGTTCCCAGGTAATTTATTTCATTTTAAAACTGTATGACTTTTACAAACCTTTGTGTGACATATAATAACACCATAAATTATAATTTAGGCATTTAATACCGAAACTGTATGATATGTATTCTTAACAAATTGAAATTTAAATATTGGTTTTATAAGTAACAATATTTGTTGAAACATCATATGCAAAGAAATTTATTCTAAGAATCGTTAAATAAAAACAATGCAATACAAGCGATTTTATAGTATCCTTTATGGCTATTAGTTATGTTATTTGCAAGCCATAGGTGACTACTTTTCTATTGTTAGATTAAATAAAAATCAAGATAACTCCCTTAGTCGAGTGATATTCTCATTATGTCAAAAACTTATAACATATAGCCAATATAACATTATATAATACATTTTTCTCATCTCAATTTTGATGGACTAGAACCCACAACGAAACAATAAATTTCAATATGTTTACATGATAAACGATTTTTTTTATATTTAAATAGATATTTCAAAAATCGAGCCTTCCCCCAGAAGGTAAAAATATTAAATCCAAATTTTACAGGCCTCAGAATAATAAAGAACATTATTGTTTATAAATATTTCTTGGAATACATTTCTTTAAAGAAAATATAACAATGTAATGAGGCCTTTTATCGCGACAGAAACCTTTCTATCTACCAACATGGCATTCATTTCCATCACATCGAAACATTATTTGGACTAGCTTCCTTAATTACGCAACTAACAATTAAACCTAGTAATTAAACAAAACTAGTCACGAAATTCACGTAAACTACATACATCTTAATCTAACATTTTCATATCGGTACATTCTGTATTGTTATCAGTATAAAATTGTATACAGTGTTAAAAATATTATAACTAAAGCAATTATTAAGTAGTATTTACAAATTCTTCTCTGATGATAAACATAATGTTATCACCCGAGGCGTACGGCGCGTCAGTATAATTTTAAATATAAAACTTTTGAAATTCCCAAAATGATTGAATTTTTAATTAAACCTTTTCACAAAAGTAAACAAACAATGGTGATACATTTTAAAGGTTACGTTCATTTTCATGTAGTTATTCTTTCTATAGGTCTTTTTTTAAACTATAACTATAATGAAACAGACGGTCACTAACATGCAATAAAATTTTAACGAAATACAACGGTGCAGTATAAATACACAATTAATATTACAAACTAAAAGCAAATGCACAAACAAGGCTATCATATCACGAGTTTGTGATGGTTCGAATACGAATACCTATGCTCTTCCCGTATCGTTTATAAGAAAAGTATAATAAATATGCACATAAGTAATATTAAGGTACAATAATTTATATTTACATTAAGAAAATATGGCACATCTATATCGACCGCGCTCGCGTTCAACACTGAGCGATCGAGCCTTCGACTCACTCATACATCATCGGAAATAATTATGCGCCTATAAATTTTGGGATGTCCCATAATACCAATTAAAATACCGGTGGGTAAGTAAAATATTCAACGCCGTGTAAACACTATCCAGTTCACTAGTCGACAATGGAGTCTTCGGAAACAGAACGTTTTCACGGAACACCAACTTTTCACAAGTTAGGTAATTAGGGAAATACGAAGGACTTCTAAAAAACTAGGGCTGTCAGCACTAGTTTAAAAATTGACTCAACATGGTTTAAAACAGCTATTTTTTTGTAGTAGGTAGGTAAGTATCCACGAGGTTCTATTTCTTTAATCAAAATATTGTATTAGTAAGAATTATAGTCTAACCTTTGTTCTTTACAGCAACGTCAATCCAGTAAATAAAATTATCAGTTTTACGAACGATAGAAAATTATCTTTATTATTATATTTGTTTGGTAAAGAGCTAATGTTCTGAGTTTGAAGTCATCTCGCATCACCGTCTAGTGAACAAGAAGTGTAATAAATAAAGCTATAAGTATAAGTTGATCGACTCCGAGCCGGGGCGCGGCCGACCGCCGAACACCATCTATGTCATAAATAGTAAACAGCGCGTTGCTACTGAACTGTTTAAGCTTATACGACCAAAATCAATCAATGACTACTTTTTTTAACAATAAATTACTTGTAATTAAACCCTGGATTATAGTAAAATATATCCAACATAATTTCTTTTTTAAATTAATAATAGAGACAGACGTCAACCTCAAGCAGTTCAGTTGCATCGAAGCTTGTTCGTGTTTCGAGTGGATATCCGCAGTGTCACAATTACAATTCATCAAAAGAAACATTCTGATTTTAACCGCTTCGTCTATACATAACCTACTCCCTATGCTTGCACCCACAATTTGCAGCCAGTAGGGAAACTTCAAACTATTCAGCCTTTGAAAGGTAACTTTTTTAGGGGCGACCTTATGACACTACGCAGTCCTACCACGGAATACCAACAGAAGCGTGGCTTCATAGAAACGAACAAAACGTAAGCACGCTCATACTTACGCCGACCTCGGTCCTCGAATATAAAATCGTAAACATAACACCCTCCCAAGAATATACGAGATACGTCTGTTACGAACAGATTCTGGTTGGTATACCGCGGTCCCACTAACGAAAACCAGGACGCGTCCTGAAACGCGTATTCGAATCGCACGAGTACATAAAAATAGATCAGTCTATAGAGCGAAGCGTCCACTCACTTATCCTACGCAGTCTGGGTGAGGCGTGGGGCCCAATATGCCTATTGGCTAACTTGCACCCGCTTTGCGACCAGTTGCATTAGACGCTTGTAATCCCGCTTAAAACTTTTCGAAATTTAATGTTTTAAGAAAACCCACCAAAATAACACCATACGCACCATCGTTATTGTTTTGATTCATGACAAAGATTGCGATTTGCACCCCTACCACGTTGAATTATTCATTTCAACTAGTAGTTAATGTAAATTTTCAAATATCAACCACCATTTCATTTCAGATCGGTCGAGGGACGTGAGTTGTAGGATCGCGGTCGTCGCGGATCGTGCCGCAGACGCAAGTCAGCGGAGTGTAGACGACGATATGGTAACCGAAATCAACAACACACACCTCTATTTTTCTGAATCTTGACAATGGTTGGTAGCGGATCACGTGGCGTTCACAATTCGCCGGTGTGTAGGTGTTGGGACAGGTTTAGGCCGCTCAATGAGCAGAAGCTGTCGCCGCGCGGTGATAATGCTTACGACGATGACGTAAGCGGGAATAACAACACACACCTCTATTGTTCTGAATCATGACAATCGTCGTGATGTGATAGTATCGGTTGCGGGTCGCGTGGCGGTCGCAAGTCGCCGGTGTGTAGGCGGTGGGACAGGTTTGGGTCACTCAGCTGGGACGCGGGGGCGCGCGCTGACGACGCGTCCGCGCGCACGAGCAGCACCCGTCGCCGCGCCGCCGTCGAGCGCACATAGCGCGGTTGCAACGCTTGCGGACGCACGTTAGTTCCCCGTCCTGTTGATACATAAATACATTATTATATACATAATACCAGACAGTGAAAGTAAAACACTTTCTATGAAGACAATGTACAAAAAATGTTACAAGAAGGAAGCTACTCGGCCCAAGTCAGGCTGGATCACACCTGGGCTGAGTTAAATTTCTTCTTGTAAATTGTTCTTTATATCCAAATATCGTAGTAATACATATTATAGAAATAAATGACGACGCAGTCCCATCGAGAAGACAATGGTTGGTGCCCCACCAGTGCAGGTTTACCTGCCACCCCAGCCATACTCACCTTGCCAACCTGCAAGTTGCTTCTTCATTTGATACAATCTGCAAAATTATGTCTTTTGTATCTCACCTTTGCGTGGCTAATCTCTTAAAGGACGCTACGTCAGTACCCATATTCTCGGCACGCATTACGGGGAACTCGGTCCTCATACTGCGTGTAGCGAGCACACCAGGGTAGCGCCCTGCTCATTTCACCGAACCTCTGGGTTAGGTGAAGTGGGCGGGGAGGGTTCTTCAGATACCGTGTTCGCGCTACTTCCGGTGATTTAAGGACGCGTACCGCCTTTTCCAGATATAAAAAAAAGTTTCACCAAGCACCGGCAAGTGACGCACATCTGTTCGTCGTGCGAGTGTATGGAGGGGTGCACGTCCTTGCCGTTGGGCAGCAGCCCGTGGTGAACTTGCACCTGCCCTCCAAGATCTAAGATCTTCTCAGCCATGCCTGGCGCCGCCTGGTCTTTGGGCATTAAATGTCTCACCTTGCACCGACAAGTGACGCATCTCTGTTCGCCGTGCGAGTGTATGGAGGGGTGCACCTCCTTGCCGTTGGGCAGCGGCCCGTCAGGAAACTTGCACCCGCCCTCCGCCAGGATCTCCTCCGCCGTGCGAGGCGCCGCCTGGTCTTTGGGCGTTTCGTCTTCAGGTTTCTTCGCTTTCACCTAAAAATAAAAAGTTAAATCCATTGAGAAACTCGATGATTCAGTGATCAGTGAATTCAGTCTGTGGTAGTGGAAGTTAAGCAATTTTGATATGATATATAATATATAATAATGATATGATATCATAGGTTTGGTGGTCAAAAAATGTATATTCTCGACCGCCTCCATACTTCCAAAGACACTACGAGCTGCTGGTCCCGGTTGCATCTGCATTCGTTAGCACCAACCCACCAACGCACTGGGTCCGCATGTTTTGTTTTGGCTTATTCTTCCTGTCCCATCCATAGCCTCGAAAGTGGGGATAAGTTGAGGAAGATTGATTGAGTATTTAATTGATATTGAAAAATTTAAGGTATTTAAAAGTTAAGGCGAAAATGATTCCTCTATGATATGCATTAGTAACATACTTGAGACCAGAAATTAGAAAGCAGATTGGACGCCCCGCACAAGCCCTCGTTTAATACCTTTAAATCAGCAGATTTTCAAAATTCCTTCACTTTCACCAACTAAGCGTTGCTCTCTTTCGTGTTTAGCACCTACTAACTATAAGTTTATGTTCTTTAATATTTTTTTTTTAAATTTGTTGCAAATGAATTACCTCCGGACATATCCTGCAGCATGCTTTCTTATCCGGTCTATATGCTTCCCTCTCCGAGCACCGTAGCGGAGGGCATCTAACGCGAGGACACTTGACTTGTCGCGTTGAAAACTCGCAAGTGCACACCGCACAGGTGTCGTATCCTTCAGGAACTAGGTACGGGTGCCAGGAGGAGCCTGGCGCGTGATACTGGCCGGCGAGGTGGCAGCCGTGCGATTCGTTCCACACCGCCGTTGTGGAATCTGAAAATTGATAGCGTAGCTTTAGGTTAAGCAGTGTCAAACTTTTTGTATTCAAATTGAATCCACTATACAACTACAATTCAATTGATAACAAGGACATTCTGTCAGGAAGGAGTAAAGAAGTCCAAACTGTCTTGCATCGTCATTTTCGGTTCGTCAATGAAAAGAGTCTCATCAATCATCATCAAGACTCATCAATCTGCACTTTGCCTACGTTTTAAGTTATGATCTGTTCTCCCTATACTTCCCATCCTTATGAAATACGGAGCAGCTGAAGGTCTGTGCCCCAGCAGTGACGACATTATAAGGTGGTGGTGATGATGATGAATGGCGGATTTTCCACATGAATTGGACTGCCCGTCTTGGGGATAAGTCTCCACCATTTTTTTTTTACTGGTAAAAAAAGTTACCTAACTCCGCGGGATGCGGAATTGGGTTCAGCTTGGCAAGATGAGAAAGCCGCATCAGCTATCACCTCGACTAAACTCTACTTATTATTACCCTTATTATCAAGGTAGGGTAGTATAATTATTTCCATATTAATAAAGTAATATTCAGACAAATATAAAGCTATAATCTTACAACTTACTCGTGCAAATCGGGCAGCATTGCCCCGGCGGCTGGATCGTGGGCACGGAGCAGTTCACCGGAGGGCAACGCACAGGGTCGCACCGTAACGCGCCGTGCACGCAACCACACATGTGGCAAGACTGTTGCCAAACAACAAAACGAGGCAATTTAAAATTAATTGGTAAGATAAATAAATAAATCTCATACAAATTATATAAACCAATTAAAAAGAAAAAATATCAGACAAGTGCAAACAATGAAACCTACACTATGAATTCTAAGAAGGATTCAAAACAAAATTTAATATGTAATAAACATTGGAATTTTAAAATAATAAACATGTCCTCCCTTATTAATAAACAAGGGATAACATTAGACTAGTTACGCCGTGTTTTGTTCATGTCACTCAAATGCCATTTGTCATTCAATAGACAGAGACAAAACATGGAGTAACTAATCCAAGCGTAGTCTTCGTTTATTAATAAGGGGGGTTAAGTTTAGCAAGTTTGTCATTAAATAAGATACCACACTAGACAGAGTACGTATTCACTCCACCACTATTACACTTAGTTTCTCCCGCTTAAACTACGGAGAGAATCTTATAAACTGAACTAACTGGGTTTTCCTTTGATTATTATTACATTCCCACTAATTGATAATCCATCACATAACTGTCATAAAGAGGGTTAGTAAGATTTCCAGGGCTAGGAAAGGAGCAAGATATAGAGCCAGGTTAGGCAACGCAGCAGTTATATAAGTATTCTTGCTGGCCCAGCGAACTTCGTACCGCCCTAAAAAAATAGGGGTCGGTGGTAGAAGGGTGGTACCACCAGACGGGCCATAATTATGTTAATTACTACTTCTTGTGCGTTAAAAAAACAACATCATTATCACTCATGAAACTATTAGAATCAAGTTAGCCGTCCCACATTACGGAAAGGATAGCACGATTGAACAAGTTTTAGAACAAAAAATATATAATAAAAAACAACTTACATCTACTGCCATCCATTGCGCTCCATCCTCGTAGAACCTTCCGGCGTAATAACAAGAAGCGCTGTTGGACAACGAATTGTCTGGAGGTGAAGTGTTCACGTGTGTCGGAGCGTAGTTAGGACTCAAGTCGTTGCCTGCTATCCATGGGGTGGATGGCAAGCACGAAGGCGGCACGCTTGTCTGAAATCATGGTAATATAAAAATAAATGCCAACTCACGTCTTACGCATATTTCACTTCCATCTTGCGTACATAAAACTCTTGCGCGGTGGTTGGTGGTTGGCGCATTCGGCCTGCGATCGTGTAAGTTAAGCAACTTTTGTAATGGTCGGGTATTGGATGGATGACCAAAAACTTATTATCTCGAGCTCCTCCTTGCTTCGGAAGCCACGATAAGCCGTTGGTCCCGGCTGCATCTGCAGTCGTTAGCACCCAACAATTAACACTCGGCCCGCGTGGTGGGTCACGGCCCAGTCTTCCTATTCCATCCATAGGGAAGGCCCATGCCCCTGCAGTGAGGACATTAATAGGCTGATGATGATGTTGAATATTATAAACACGAGAATGTGTCTGTCTGTCTGTTACGACTCTACGCCTAAACCGCTAGAGCAATTGTGATGAAATACGGTACAGAGATAGTTTGAGTCCTGGGAAAGTACAGTACAGTAGTTTGTCTCAGAAAACATTCTTAAAGGTTGTCAACATGTGGGTGGAAGTTTATACGGGAAATCAATTTTTCCACGCAAACGAAGTCGCAGGCAAACATAAGTAATAATATAAAATTAAATGCCACTTGTATTCTACTAACATTAGTCTTAAAGTTTGTATATTTGGGTGTTTGTTACTTAATCACACAAAAAGGTCTGAACGGAACCTGGAATGACACATAGGATACTTCTTCCGGAAAATCTAAGGTTCTCGAGGTTTTCTCAAAAAAAAACTAAAATTAACGCGGCCACTATAGTACACAATAAAAATTAAATTTTCAAAGTGAGTTATTTGAATATTTAAAAATAATCTAATATATAAAATTCTCGTGTCGCGGTATTTGTGGTTAAACTCCTCCGAAACGGCTTTCCCAATTCTCATGAAATTTTGTGTGCATATTGGGTAGGTCTGAAAATCGGACAACATCTATTTTTCATCCCCCTAAATGCTAAAGTTTCTAAATGTTAATCCACCCCTAATTTTTATTTTTCAATTTTAGATATTTTTTTTTTATTTTTTTATGATACATCATACAAAAATACATACAACCCTAAATTTTCACCATTCGGAAGAAATTGGTGGAAACCAACCACTATTTTTTATGGCGGTACGAAGTTCACTGGGTCAGCTAGTATACTTATAAAAAGCACCAAAATTGTCATTATTGTTGCTGTTAATAGAAATGTTATCTACGATAGTATCTACCTAGTTTCGAAAGTAATATAAAAAAACAGGTTGCCTCATCACTTACCTAAAACAGCGAGAATTATACTTAGTTTTTAATAAGAGAGATTTTATCTCTGTCTACTTTGATCGAGGTGCTAAATTAGTTAAACAAAGATTGCATTCGACTTTATTTTTGTTGAAGATTTTACAGGTTAATGAAAATACTACAGCTATTTTAACACACTTGCGTGGTAAAAAATGAGATAAAATTAACAAATATAAGAAGAAATCTGGTTATCTCATACTAGGTCTAAGATGTTGTTAAAATAATAATAAGTTGACAAGACGTTAGCAAACAAATTATTTTGGTACCTATATTATTACAAGTTAATCTTATAGACGTAAAGACTTACCTTAAAACTGTCCCCGGTTAGGTGGCGAAAACAGATAACGATAATATTCGTTAGTAAAAGACAAAAATAAATTCATTGATTTAGGAAGAGCCAACTTTTTTATATCTAAAAGTGCCTAAAACGGCAAATATTAAAGTAAAAGTACTTTGAATCATCGTTTTTAAAATTTTATTTATTATAGATATTTTTTTAACTGCAACAACGTCTACAAAAAAAACATCATTGTAAATTTAATACCTGAGGTAATCGCGTACGCTGTACTACTGTATCGTTGTCGGTAGTCGTAATGTCCAGATAAGCCGGTTCCATAATGCAATCTTCTACGCTCACTAAAACTTGGACACTATCATCTATCCTATTACCAAATAGTATGATTATAAAACGCTTAATACCTGAGGTAATCGCGTGCGCAGTACGGCTGTATCGTTTTCGGTAGTCCTAATGTCCAGATAAGCCGCTCCAGCGTGCAAGGCGGCCAGTTCTGCCGCAGTCGGTTCCAAAACGCAACCTTCTACGCCCACTAGAACTCGGGCACTATCACCGCCCCCTGCGTAAGTCTCTAACCACGCTGACCAGGAACCGACGTTACCGGTTACTGTAACCTACAAAAAAGAAAAAAAATACAAGCAGTTTGATTAATATCGGTTAAGTAGTTTAGAAGTCCACCCCGGTCAAACAACGTGACGCGTAATATAATATTATATTATATTACGCGTCACGTTGTTTGACCGGGGTTATATAATGTGACATTGGTTATATAATGTAAAATGAAATAATTACATGCCATTATTAAATAACCTCCATTATTATTATTACACTATAAGCCTGTTTTACAATAAATAAGTAAAATTCTAAGTGAGCTACTTCGAACATAACGGTGCGTTTAGACTACGCTATACTATTATACCATTAGTATAAAACTCATAGCACGATATTGCGCACTATTTATTTATTAGAACATTTACATAGAACAAGTTCACACCACGCTATATTATATTGTATGCTGCTATACTTTATAGCACAAAAATTATAGTGTTTTCTGAATATACTTTTATGTTAGGAGTAGCTTACTTAGAACTTTACTTATTTTAGTACTTACTTTACAAAATAGCTTTGCGAGATCACTCGAGTTACTCGAAAATATATCCTATCCTATCTATGATAATTGTTCGGATAAACCAATTTCGTATTTTCACTAATAGATCGGTTCTGAAGATATCTTACCTCATAATGCAGACCGCATAAAGCATCAACAGAGAGCCACGCAAGCCCAGCGATGGGCGTAGAAGTGACTGGAAGTCGTGCATCAGTGCGGCGGAGTAGTGCTGGACCTGCGCTCGAAGCGTCAGGCAGCGGACGAGATACTAATCTGCCACGAAGGATTGGTGGACCTATAACACCACAAAGGAAAGGTGACTACTAAACTAAGTGTAAGTCATTTAAACTTAAAGCTTTTTCAATGTCCAAAAGTATGTAGTGATCAAGCACAATTTGGCCCTCTTATTATTCTTTTTTGTCTATACTTTACTACCTAAGCTAAGATCAGATATGAAATATTATGTTAAGGCGCCTTAGATCCCTACAAAATTTCTCAACGCGAGCGCACAATTTGATACCGTGTTTTTAAGTTAAAATTTTATATAAAAGTTTCATTTAATATTGATGAATTCACTACAATTAATAATATCGAAAAGTTGGTAAATCTTCCAAAATTTGAAACAGGTCAAAAGGAAGTGAAAATAAGATATTTATTTAAAATAGTGAAGTGAAGTAATTCAAATTGTGTATTCTCTATATATATTATGATTTCACTAGTTAAGAGGCTCAACAATATCATATATTGTTTTAAACTCGGTAACAAGAAGAACTTTTATAAAAGAGCTTAAAAATTCTAGAGCTATTCATGGATACCAAAAAACGATAATCAAGAGTCTTAGATATTTTTATGATTTAGCAGGAAATATGTTTTCTATATTATTATTTATTTTATTTAATCATGTTGAAACCTACCAATATCAGCGCCGATATGCACAGTTAGTTGGTCATCATACAAAGGTGGAAAGATTCTAGCACTGGGTCTTGCTAAAACTCCAATACGCGTATCTAATATCTCCACCTGCGAATGTCTCTTCCCTTGTTCTTCCACTAACGTTATCTTTGGGTCATTTATACCCATGTTGTCCACCTGCAATTCATTAACAACTATTAGAACCACATTAGATTTACATTTACACCATAATTATCTACAGGTAAATGAACGTATATCTTGCCTCATTAGTTCGTGCATGCATACTTTTTTTTAGCTCAGTTTTTCCATTAGGATTGTTTGGGCTAAGTACGTTACTGATATTTATAAAGTTAACTTCAAAAAACATTAACTTAACGTCTATAGTCTTTAACAATGATCTCTTGTAAACTATGGTCCACGTGTTTTCTACTAATCAGATTTACTATGACTTCATTCATGTACTTTCTCGTATTATTTGATATTAATAACAATTAGAAAACATTGATATACCTACATTTGTTGTTCAAATTCAACGTGATGATCAACAATTTGCTTTTCCTATTTTCAAAGCTATTTTTTTCTATGTTATTTTTTACTCACCTGTATATCATAGACAAGCGAACCGTCTTTATCAATGTAAATCAAGGCAAGGCCTTCTGGAGCCGGAGATGCGGGGGGTCGTTCTGCGGCTAAAGAAGCGTGGAACACCTCACACGCAGCTCTTTGCCTCACATTCCCTGTTATCCTTCTCTCTGGATTTCTAACAGATTCGACCGTAAGAAGCAATCGCCCTCGAGCCAATGACCGCAACTCTGCAGATGACACGGGCGTAGAAACTTCTAGAACGTTGATTTCGTAACTTGGTTTCGAAACTTTTTGGACCTAAAATTAAACACTAATCAGTACTTAGTAAACTTTTTAAAGTACAAAGACTGTTTTGAATGAAGAAACAAAAATGTGTTATTTTCTTTACTTACGTCGGCAATAATAGTTTGGTTTTTGTCCGGTAGCGTTAATAACACTCTGACAGCATAATCATGAGGAGTTGAAGCGAATACACCGTTGTACAAAAGTGCCAGATGAAGACTTGGAGCAGCACCAGCTACTCCAGTAACGACGGCTGTACCTCCCCACCAACCTTCCTCTTGGCCGATAGTTCTATAATCATCACAAGGTCCATTTCCTATGACAGCGGGAGCGTGTTCCGGTTCAAGTAGTGACGTAAACATTTCCGATGATAGTGCAGGATACCTTTAAAACAGTTACACAAAATTATTAAGATAAAAATAAGTCTGTCAAATTATCATTTAAAAAATTATCAGGATAAGATTTCCCTGAGATACAACATATCTCTCTACTGTCAATTTCAATTAGTTTAATAATAATTCTAATATTATATTATAATTTCTTTACGCTATACGCGCAGTTGACTGTTACAAAATTATTGTCATCCACTCAATCTTAATAAGCTACTGTATTAAAATATAGGAAGCGTATTAACAATATGTAATTAGTATTATTAAAACCAAAAGGGAAACTGTGATTGCCATTCATCAAACGTTTTATTACATGAAAAGCTATGAACAGCCTATATATTGATAGCTACAGAATATAGTTTTCAATTCTATGAGGTCACTTGTATTTATTACACAGGAACGAGTGGATGACTCACAATTTGCAAACGTGTTGGGATTTTCCTAGACTGATTACCATGGAAGCTGGGGTACTTTCCGCTAGTAATCACAGACATATGGTTAATTAAATCATCAATCTACACTGAACAATAGCTCTTTCACGTATTTCATTCTGCATTCAAAGACACTGTAACAAGGACTACCGTAGTTTGTATATGCATAAAATGATATGAATACCCATGTAACAGAACATATCCGCTATAAATTGGCATACAATTGATTAAGCATGTCGTACCTACCTATTGATGCGGCCACTTAAAGCGCTATCCATAGTGTTGTTACGTTCATCTCCCCACACTAGAGCTACGTATAAAGATCCTTCTCTCAATAAACGTTTGTATTCTCGTGGTACACGGCGCCAAACACCACATAACTGTAATTTAAAAAATCTGGATTATCAAATTTGATTGGTCAAAGAGTGATTTCGCAAGCGATCTAGATTTCATTGAGCAATAACTTGAGGTTAACTACATAACTGTTAATCATACCAAAAGTGATAAAGGCAAATAGCCTTGCCCATTAAAGGATACGGTTTCAACTTTCAACAAGACATATTTTAGAACAGAAAAAGTACGATTTTTGTGGTTATTTTTGTCGAAACTATTTAGTATAAAGTAAGCGTCATCGCCATGTCTGAGCACAGGGCTCCATTTAGGGTGAGGTCAATTAAAGGAAATAAGCTAAAATATCACTTCTATAGACACTTATATTTTCGATATCCTTATCACAAATGTATTTGGATTTTTTCTTGAAATTCTAACTATGATCTTTGAAGTTATTACAACATTCACCTTATCAGTTTTGTCCTCGTAAGTAGCGTGTATGCCAGGTGCTTTTTTCAGTGGGTGCTCGAGGAGTAATCTTCCTCCTCTATCCAAGAACAGCAATGCCCTAGGCTGCACAGTCATTGAAGGTCCTAGTATGACGGACCAGTAAAGGTGTCGCCGTCGGAACGTGAAACGAGCAGTAGCCACTCCAGCAGCAACCGGCACTCCAGTCATATCATCTCTTCTGATGCACAGAGGAGATCGTCCGGTAAGAAGAGCACCGAAATCTTTAAAAAGAAGAGAAAAATCTTCAATTATACGATTTAGAATACTAGATCTCACAGGAGGACAAGTTTAACTTTATTTTTTTATTATTTACCTTAACGTTAATAATAGAAGTATTGCTATTAATATATTCTTACGTTTCATGCTTAGCTCCTCCTCTTCCGGGCCGATCACTATCGTTGGACTGTCTTCCTGAATTATGTCAGGTGCTGAAACAATAATAAATAACATTATCATCCAAAGTGAATCATGATACGTAGCCATTAATTCACATCGGGCAAGAATTCATTACTTAACTGGTGAATAAAAATTAAAAACTATCTTACGAACGACATGGTAAATATATAATGGACAATAAGTTATTGATTTATCTATGGGAATAATACCAATTTTACTCTCTCGATGTCTGCAGCAAAATTGCTTCGTATAATAAAACATGTAATAGGATTAGTTCAGTATAATCAATTACTATTGCTTCTAGACTCTGCCTCCGTAAACGGTAAGTTAAAGTGGTTCTGCCTGTAGACGACTGTATGTAGATATTCATAAAGTCTAATTTCGAACAAGGCTTTGGGTGTTCACGAATGTAGTTGATCATATACCAGCCGATCGGTTCGCAAGACCTCCCCGACCCTTCCATTCGGCTTGATTGGATCAAATATTATTCAATCGCTACAGGACCGCGCGTCTAGACGGCGACAGCAGAATTTGCGCTTTGCATAGCTTTCTTGTTTGGTCTGCTCTGTACCGAAATAGAGAGAGCACTGACATTTCGCGCGACAGTTTGATTGTATCCGATTTCTAGATGTGCTCTTTATATACTCATAAACTCCGCTAAACTACATGTTCTAGGGTTATTATGTTTCCTTCAATGCAAATAAAACTATAATGATAATCATTCATCTTATAGTTCTACGGTATTTAAATATAAGTTGATTAACTTAACTGTGGCATGGTTGAGTTAATTACTACCTAATGGCATTCTTATTCAATTATAAGTATGAAAGAACCCTAAGCAGTCGAGTTGAACATTTAATGTCATAAAAAAGGCAAATTTAAGCATTAAACCCTATTTTTATAAAAAGGCAGGAATTAATTATAATTCTTAAAAAAAAAATATTTATTTCAGGTTTTTATAAAAAATATTTTTATTAAAATAAAAAATTCATTGTTACAATAGATGTTTAAATCTAAAGAAAAAATCAATAGAAAAAAATCCACTCGCACTGAAAAAAGTTTTGAGTTACTTATAACAATTTTACATAAAAACAGCGACTACATAACTGTAGTTACTAGTAGACAAACTCGGTTTTGTTAAAATAGTTTAGTCCGCTATACTAGCTCAACAAAAAATGTTACTTTTCAACTAATTTTTGTTTTACTAATCAGTAAAGTGCTCCGAGTAAATAACTAAATATAATATACTGACAACAAAACAGTAATATAAAAATAGACTTTCATTTAACCATATAACATACATTACTGTTTCATTGTTAACGGGATTGCTATGGCTATCGCTATCACTTACGATTTCATTTTGTTATTTTTGGCCGCAGGAGGTTTTCCTCCCTCGCGCTCTTTTTCTTCTTCTGCGTTGGTATTAACAATATTAAAGAAAATGAGCGTGATTTATTTGAAAACCTTCGGCAGACAGAAATAACAAAATGTAATCGTTATCGATAGCGATAGCCATAGCAACGAAGTTAGGCGATTAGCCCCCTAATATGTTATAAATAACTATGATTTTGGTAATGCTTAGACGTCTTGTTCAGTAATTGCTTATGAAATGATTACTTCAGTTTAACATCACTATACTGTTAATTGTAACCAAACTATTCCGTTGTTTGCAATACAACTTCCTGATACATTAAGCTATTAAGCTATATATTACCTAACTTGCAAGAGTGCGTACTACTTACTTGTTTACTGGGGTTGCTTAACAGGAGATTCGGATAATCGTAATACTCTAAATGATGCCCAATTTATTAGTAAATACAAATTTTATAAATTTAACTTTTAATATGAACAAAACAATCTCTATAGCGCGATTCAGCAGATATACCAAATAATTAACAAAATATCCGCAATCTGTAACCGAACTTTTTGGATAATAGTTACATCACTTTTCAGTTATTCATAGCGGTTTTTGTGCTTGCTAATAAATTGCACATACAAATAGTTGTAGTTAGGCCAACTCTATTTAAATAATCACATCAGTGTGTATGATTATAGCAATACCTATTTTGTTACAGGGTACCGAAACTGAATTTGACAGCATACTACTAAGCCATTTGTTATACATATTATAACAAATGATTTAGTAATTAATAACTAAACTGAAATAACTGAAATTATATTGTAAAATGCAACAGAGCAGTTGGTCTATGAGTAACATAAATTTATTTATGTTAAAGTTTGGCTATTCATCCGTTAACTCAACCAGTTTTGTAATTTACTTTTTTCAGTGCGGTCGAGGTTTCAGTCAGGATTTTTTTCTAGTAAAATAGTATTCTTTAGGTTTATGGAATGATAAACAAGCAAAGCCCAGTACAAGTAGGTAATGATGAGACCTGTTTATGGACTTAGATATACCCAAAGGCAGATTGTGATCGTGCGGCGCGGCGCCAACGACCATAACTAACACTGTAAATTCATTTAATAATCGAGACAACCCTAAATTTATTGGCAAATGGCGCCAATGTGGCGATGATTTGATCTAGGAAACTTAAAATAACAACAAAGAGAAGGTTGGATGAGCAAACGATGTGGTGTGAGCAGAGCTCTGCTGGCAAAATGAACAAGACCGCAACTTAAACGTTCATATCTTTGAATCTCATTAAAAGCATAGCAACCATTATAAGTGCGGAATAACAATTTTACAGTAGAAAAAAATAATGGTGCGCTAATAGTATTTAGGTTAAATAATTTATAATCTTCGTGTCTGGTTACATTACACTATGTTTTATTAATATGCATTATTTAATTTAGGGATAATAATCAAAGTTATAATGCAATACAAAAACAATGAATATTTGGAAACATAGAGATGTTTCAAATGTTTTATCAAACCGTTTAACAGGTGACACAGCGTTACCTCTTCTATGACGAAAGCGATATATTTAGCTCTAGTAAGTACGACTTAAGACTGCTAGCCTGATAAAAAACTTAAATAATACATTGAAAAACTTTATGCCATCACAATTTAGCCGTTTTGTGTTGATATAGGTTAGTTTTTACATGATGCAGTAAATATGTATGCGCAATCGTTGCGACTGGCGCCCGCTCATTAGTGTCGTTTAGTCCCAACATTTGAAAGCGACCTCGGGCGCGACGTGACAAGACTGGTCTGAACATCATTCCTAGTCGAGTCGCGAGCAGACTTTTCGCGTTGACTTGACGACTTTTCCGTGGATGATGTAACCAGGCGCCGCTCAGACGTAAATAAATAAGGATTGGCGTAAGAGAAAAGTCATATGCATCCAATAAACAACATATATCGAAATATATATAAAGCGAGTGATAATTTACGCTTCCGTTTTCAGATTCTACAGTTCCAAATCGCTGCTAAAAAACTTACAAATACTGTAACACCAAGTGATGTAATATTTTTGTTTTCTCTTTAAGTTCCTGTATGTCACGGGAAAAAGGAAAGAGTAGAAAGCGAGTTCAAATGAATTAATATCGAATATTCTTAAGGGAATGAAAATGCTGTTTTTTTTACTTGTGGTAGAGCTTTTGATTCCTTCAAGGGTTTCAAAATATTGTGGATTAAGCACCTGTATTTTTAATTGGTTGTATTTTTTCGGTTACAAACCTCTTTTCAGTTTAGCCAGCCGCGCCACGGTTCTGTATGAGCAAATGATCATAACTTGACTTAAACTTGGTTCTGATTGCGTCGTCGCTCTCGTGTGTGAGCGCTAATTGGTTTTACTGTTTGATTTCGTGTCGTTTGATTAGCTATTATCTATTAGGTGGAAGTGTAGTGGGGGCTAGCCGGCGACATCGGTTCCCGTACAAGTGGTCTTTGATCACCCTTCTAAACTCTTTCTGTGGGGACAACAGCTCTTACAAGTTTGCACGTAACCCTTAAAGAACACGGTCAAACTCGTGTTTTTGTTAAAGGAAAGAGTTATTCCTTTTTTCCCAAGGATGTTGTTTTAAATAGAGCTTTTAATTCTTGAACTTTTTTCATACACTATGATAAACTATGAACTATGTCTCTGGCGAAATAGTGACGGAACTTGAATCCTTACGCATCGCCAACATTGTCGAAGCATGCCGTCGGCTTAGTCACAATCTGTAATGTACGAATAGGGGTCGTCTTGTCTTTATCTATTTCTCAGTCTACGTCTCCGTCTTGTCTTCATCTATATCTCAGATCTACCTATATAGCTCCGAATGAGTGGCAAAATCAGAGAAAGAATAAGGATATTTCATACAAATTCAATGAAGCTACTCTCTACTAGTTTCACAAAACAATCGATTTAAAAAATTATATGTTGAGAAGCAGTTTTATACTCATTGAACATAATTTTAATACGAACACTAAAAAAATCAAATAAATGAATTACACCGATAAAAAAAAGTTTTTTGTTAGACACAAAAATATAAATAATTTTCGCTAATTAAGGCGTCATCTGGCCACATTTATTGAAATTAGCATTAACATTGACATATTAACAGGTTATTAATTTTCCCATATCACATTCTAATGATATACACCCCAGGAAACTTCTGAAGTAGCGACCATAGACAAGGAAGCCTGCGCAGTGGCAATTTTACATACAAAAACGTCTGCTGCGCAATCTTTTAGGGTTCCGTACCTCAAAAGGAAAAAACGGAACCCTATAGGATCACTTTGTTGTCCGTCCGTCCGTCCGTCCATCCGTCATGTCATGTCAAGACCGTTTTCCTCAGGAACGCGTGGAGGTATCAAACTGAAATTCATATCTAATACTCATGTTTACTGTCCCTTGGAGCTGTGAGAAAATCAAACTTCTAAGCCAAAGCAATCAAAAGAAACAGACGTTTATGCCACAAATTTGTGCAAATTTTTGAAACTCGCACGGGAATTAAAGCCTACAGGGTACTTCCCGTGAACTTAGAATCTTGAAATTTGGTACGAAGTAACGTCTTATAGTATAGATAAAGGAAAAATTGCGAAAACCGTAAATATTTAGTTGCATCATAGAATAAAAAATATTTTTGAAAATTTTAAAGTTACTACCTCTTTTCTCATGAACGCGTAGAGGTATTAAATTGAGTCTTGGTCGTTATTTTTGTCTGTGGTTTTGCTCAAGATGTTTGCCACTACCTATACTTTTACTGTGTTCATATTTTATAACAGCAACGCAGGGCAATCAATTGAAGCTTAACTTCTAAATACAACATTTTAGTACTTCCCATTTAAAGCTCTGCACATTTATGAAGAGTCGGTTGTAGAATAGATTAATTTTATAAATAGCTGTTGGATTTAGCTTTAAATATATCCTTTTCTAGTTATTTAGACTACAG